AGTGTTTCTCACGGTAATGTTTAATAGTGCATCCCTCTAGGACATTAATTTGTACTTTTTTTCTACTGTTTTAAATCAGTTTTCAAAGGATAATGACAGGTCTAGTATTTGGATTAGTTTAGAATTTGAAGTTTTCTAACTAGAGAGAAATTTTTTGTCAGTTACTAAAGATGACTAAAACTTTTATTGGCCCATTATACAATTAAAGGGATCTTGGGACTGTGCTTGCTATTTCATGTTATTTTTTAATTGATAATGCATTAACCAGAAATGATACGTCCCAAGGCGATGTATTTACAATTATAGGGAAACAATATTAATGTCTCAAAGAATTTTACCAAAGGTTTTAAAAACACCAGGCAAAAGGTCTAGTTTAGGTATTTCCCGTTGGCTCATTTTGTTCTCAGAACAATATTGCAAGAGTTGTGTGGTTATATCCACTCAACATGCAAGATTAAGAAATCATTTTCTGAGGCGGGCGTGGTGGTGATGCCTGTATTCCCAGCGGTTCGGGAGGCTGAGGCAGGAGGATCACAGGTTGGAAGCCAGCCTCAACAATTTAGGGAGAATGTAAGCAACCTAGCGAGAGCCTGTCTTAAAATAAAAAAGGGCTAGGGATGTGGCTCAGTGCTTAAACACCCTTGGGGTCAATCGCAGGTACAAGAAAAAAAAAAAAAAGTAAAAGGTCAGTGCAGGGCAACAGGAAATCGTGGAGCCCCGGGTTTTCCCGTGGTCACAGTCGCTGACTTGCCGTTCTGTAAGATCGCCTCCTCATAAATTCTCAGGACACAGGTTAATTTTTATAGCTTCAAATATAGCCTAAGAGTTGCCCCCTTGATCCGACTGGGTAGGAGAGCCGGTTTCCCGGGGTACTGACTTCAGGGTACTTTCCTGAACCTGACATGTCCCGGCTGGGGGCACAGATGTGGGACAGTGACCCAGTGTCTGCAGTCCCGTGGAAGAAAGGCCGCGTCCACTCGGTTCGGGCTGGGCCCTGGAACTGGGATTATTCATCAGGAACACGCCCACGCTAGCTGTTAGGACAGGGAGTCTCTGTCAAACTGGTGGGCACGGTCTCTACTTACTTCGTCGGGCTAACCTCTGGCACATTTTGCTAATTGGGGTCTGGCCCGCCAGCACAGCCCTAGTCTCACTGCAGCTGTGAGGTCCGGGTTTGGCGCCTCGGGGCAGATCCGGCTGGAGAGTCGGTTAAAGTACCAGAGTCTCGCGAGATCTAGAGGGAGGGGGAGGGGGCAGCGCTCGTGCACGCGCCCGCGAGCCGTTAGGGTGGAACCCTCGCCCCGGGCCGGGCGGGCGGAGCGAAGACAGTTGGACGCCAGTTGGTGGAGGCCCGCGGGAAACGACTCTGCGCGAGGAACGTGCGCGCTCCCGTCGCGACGACGGTGGCGGCGAGCGGCGTCACAGCTTGGAGGGGGGGGTTTGACGGCTTCTGGCGGGTGGCGGTGTTGGAGGCGAGAGCTTGCTTAGCCCGTGTCGCGTCTGTTCCTGGAACCGGACGGAGAGTGAGGGCACGAGGGTCTCTTTCTGGAGCTGCTGTCTTCCACGTACACGTCGTCGTGAGGAGCGCAGCCCGGACTCTCCCGCGACCCCTCCAGCTCTCCTTCCGCACGCCTCGAGGCGGCGGCTGCGGCGGCCACCAAGACAGCATCGCACCTCCCCCACCCCTTCCCCTCATCCCCCGCCCGAAAGGGCCTGTCTGCGCCCCACCCCCGCCCGTCCGTCCGCTACGTCGTCGCCATGTCGGCGCAGGCCCAGATGCGCGCGATGCTGGACCAGTTGATGGGCACTTCCAGGGACGGTAAGTGTCTGCCAGAGCCCTGGGGGTGGGGGAGGGGATGGGGCCGACGTCGGGAAGGGGTCCGAGGGCGCACCTGGGCGCGCGCGTGTGGCTGAGTAAGGGGCTCCCAGATTGGTAACACGAGGTCCCCGGCTCCCTTCCCATCCAATCAGGGCTTGGCAGGCGGGCTTGGGGGGCGGTGACCGTGCGGATTGGCGGGAATTGCTGCCAATGGGACTAGGCGGGGCCTGGGGGCAGAAAGGAGAGTTTGTGCTTTTAATGTTGACTTGGCTGGGATGGGAGAGCCCACGTCTCTCTTTGCGTAGTCGGGCGGCCAGTTTTGTTGCTGATTAGGTACCTGCGGACCGCTAAAGCCCCCGCTCCCGATCTAGTTCCTTAACCCAGAGCCTTGGGTCGTCCCTCGTCGCCGTCCTCCAGAGTCCAGAGAGAATCAACCCGCCCCCTCCCCCCGCCCCGGGCGAAGGAAAACCTTACCCCGTCCCAGAGATGCACCATCTATCCCCACAGAATCAACCATTTTTATGGAAAATCTGACCCAAACCATGGTTTCTTGAAGTGGGTGTGTTTGGCCCCATTTTGTGAAAAGAAAAAATGTTATGGCCTGTTTTTCCGAGAGACCTCCATTTTGTTAGACAATTTAATAGAGGCTTTGTTCAGTAAATATTGACAAATCTTACATGCGCCCCAAATAGGACCATTTTGGAAATTTGATGCCCAGTGAAGCAGATTCGAGGGAAACAAAGAGATTTTTAGGCACTTAGGTTAGAATCCGTACAGAAAGCAACTACGTGCTGGATTATCTTTTGTCATAGCGAATTTCTAAGTAAAACGAAGAAATCTGTTGCTTTTTTGTTGATAATAATTAGTAATATACTCTTTCAAATTCAACTTAAATTCACGACAACGTGGAGGAAAGGTCTAGTTGAGTACTTTCTTAAAAACCGAAAATCCTTGTTTTTATATGTTGATTGTTTTGGCAAATAGTTTCTTAGCCATTTAAATGCTTTTTTCTTGAGAAGTTATTCACGTTGCTTGACTTAGGAGAAAAGGCCCTTGAATTTAGTTTATGATAGTTGCTCTTATGATTTACTTGAGTGATTTGCAGCAAAATATGTGAGTAGGAAAAAGAACTTCATTGCATTAAAATATTTTTAGCAATGCTTATTTAGAATGGCATTTCAGCGTTAACGGTTCAGTGTTAATAAAAACCCACACTGGAAACTTTTCTTTATAGAACATTAGGATAAACAGGTATAGATGACAAACTGTGGTTGTATAGAGAGAAGGGAAAGATTGGGAAGAAAATAGGTTTATTTGTGTAGTAAACTCTTGAAAATTAATGTTAAATAAAAATGCCATTGGAGTAATTTAACTGTTATCATTTTCCATGCGTAGATAAGAATGGTTATAACTGCAGCATGTCTTTAACATTTCTCTTTTTCTAGCATAAGAGAGGGTATTGGGAAGGGGTTTCATCTAGGATCTTAACTAACACAATTTTTTAATAAAGTCATAAGACTTACTTTATGTGATCCTTTTAATCCCTGACAGATACCATTTTGGTATTTTCTGCATAGATTAGATTTTCTGATATTACTGGCAAGATAATAGTTGGATCAAGGTAACCATCACCTGAGAAATTTCTGAACTAGGCAGCTCATCTAGTATTGCAAAGTTAGAGTAACACATACATGCGTGTATGTTATTGGATGTGTAGTCCCAGCAGAAAACTGGATTTCTTCAAATCCATTCTGCTTTGTATACAAATAAATTTATATTATGTGTCTGTCACTGGACTTTTTTTCTTTTGTTTTTGCCTCCAGACTTAGAGGATTTATGAATGAATTTATGTCTACGAGTCCACAATAATATTTAACTGAAATAACAGGACTTTCACTGCTATATTGGGTCAGAAGTAAGAAATATACCACTTTCAAGGAAAATAATTTTTTTTTAATATATCCAAATTATTTTATTTATTTGATATAATCAGAAATTATTTTCCTTCTAACTAGATATTTAGTGAATTTTACACATTTGATATAATTCAGGATATTTAAATAATTAGACTATTTTTTTTTAGCAGTCAACTGCAAGTTATCCAGGGATAGGGGAACATGGAGACATCTCTGAATAACATCATGAAATTTGAAACCATATAATGAGAAGTCTTGTATTAGACACACAAACTGTTTCTGGGAAATGATGTTGGGTGTATTTGGAAGTGGAAATGGGGATCCAGGAGGTGGGAAAGAGATGGAAAAGATAGGTAGGAGGGCATTTAAGGCAGCTTGGTCCTATTTTTTTTTTTTTTTTTTTAAACCCCAGAGACTAACTATGAAGCAGCCATTTTCTTTTTTTGGTTAGTGAGGCTCAGGTAGCCATGATCCCCCTCAATCTTCAGTGTCCCATCCTTGAAAACAGCTGAAGTGGCACAGGAGTCCTGGGGCTCTGGAAAAATGTTAGTTTCCCTTCCAAAATATTTCTTCCCTCTCCCCTTCCCAACAGAGTTTTTAATCCCTTTTAAAATTCCTTGGAGATTTAAGTCTGTGAGTTAAATGTACCTTATCTTGAATTACTTAAATGAATTAATCGTTTAGATTACCTAAACTTCACTGGAATCCTCAGGAATAGGAATTTTGGTGTCAGGGAAATGGAGAGGTAATTTTTGGATCACTGGGCACTTCAAGAAAGGACAGTCTTGGGTGAGTGTGGAAGTGGGGGGCTTTGAACAATTAGTGGGCAGCATGATGGTGCTGGGAGGCTGGGCAGGGGGATGACCAGGAGGTGGGAGAGGAATGCATAATGGAGGTGGGAGGGCCAAAGACAAACTTTGCCTTCTTTGCAATTTTGCCTAGGGCCCTGGTGGTGGCAACCGCCTGTGTGCCACTGAAAATCGTGCCGATGCCTGGCATACTGCATAAATGGAAGCAGGGTACCGCGTGAGTTGAAACATTGGTCACACTATATAAAGTTTGTATATGTGAATCAGTGTAACTCATACCCATGTAACTGGGGGTCTGACTGTATTTGGATTTTTCTGATAAGGCATCATGGGCTAAGGAAAAGAGCACTGAGCTGAGACTCAGGAGACCTGGTCTCTAATTGTAACCTTGGGTAAGTCACTTAACCTTTTTTGCCTCAAGTTAAATCTGTAATTTGTTCTATGGGAAACCAAATATTTTCCTGTTAACCTCAGAAAATGTTGAAAAGTAAATACATTTATTAAAGTTTTTAAGAAGGGAGGACCATAAGTAGATATTAATTATTAGTATATTTTTTCATTCCAGGTTTAAGAGTCAATATATTTTGTGAATACCTTTCTGTTTTAGTTATTAGCATTAATAGGAAGGAGACAGATATTCCATTTGGTAGCAGGGAAGAGCCACATAGGAAAACCCAAGAAACAGTTTGAGAATTGTCTGCATAACAGTTGGAGAAACCCTGTGCCCTCGTACAGAATTTTTACCATGGTAATTTTTACTGGATTGAATCACTTGTAAGGGTATCCCTTAGCAGAAGCCCTTTTGCTAACATATAGTTTGATTATAATACATTTCTGGTTCTGATCACTGAAAGATCTGAGAAGATGCAGGGAATAGGAATTAAACAGGGTGTGAGAGTGTGAATTTAGATTACATCCTAAATTTAGAAATTAGATAGGTTACAGAGGATAATTTGTTCTGAGGGTTCCAGATCTCTTAGTTGCATTAAATGGGAGCAGAGTTCATCTCTTCAAACAGACCAGGAGTGAAAGTACACCCTCAAAATAACCTGTAGATTGACTTTAATAGACTTCTTTGGCATCATGTGTTGTCCATGACTAAGGATTGATTGCATTTGGCAAGTTAAAGCTTTCAGATAATTTTAGCTATTTTTGGTGTTAATCTTACTAAACTATATGATACCCTTCCTTGGTTAATAGAGGATATTAATTGTAATAGTCTTCACTAGTTATATTTATGTTATAGTTTATACAATATGAAATTGAAAGGATACTCATCTTTGGGGATACCCAGAAGATACAATTCAGGAAGTAATTTACCTACTTCTAACATATTTAGTTATATCTAACTTTATCATCTGTAGGACAACATAACATGACTGCCTTTCTGCAAAATCAATAAATCAGAGATTGAAGTAGTGTTTTTTCCCAGTGGATTTTCTTCTTTATAAAATCATCTTTAACCTGTGTTTCTTGACTTGTCATGAACATTGAATACATTTTCTCTTAATTTTCCTTCATTAATGTAATGAACCATATTTATTTCTTGGTTAGCTATAAGTCATTCTTTTATTCCACTTGGATCATTCATTTTAAGTGAAGGAGGCGTAGCCTTTAATGTACAAGCACACATTTTTTACATAATGGGTACATGTTATCCTAGATCTTGTAAATTATTTAACATAAAACCTTTGGCAGTGGAGCCCAGTGGCGCATGCCTGTAATCCTAGCAGCTCAGGGCTAAGGCAGAAGGATCAGGAGTTCAAAGCCAGCCCCAGCAAAAGTGAGGCACTAAGCAACTCAGAGAGACCCTGTCTCTAAATAAAATAGGGCTGGGGATGTGGCTCTGGACGAGTGGCTCTGAGTTCAACCCCTGTATCCCCCCAGAAAACAAACCTTTAGCAAACCTAAGGCTAAATAGTAGTGTCTCTGAATTTCTATAACTTTGACTTCATGGTTCCAGGCATATCCATAACATTAAAGCTCTTTTAGCACCCGTATAGTGAGTCAGTTAAATTTTTCCCCTCACTTTGAATTTTGAACTCTAATATTTTTATCTATAGAGCAGCCCAGAAAACAGTAGAAATATTACCTCATAGAACCCTGTGTTATCCTTGGATTTTGTACAGTTGTTTAGTTCTCCAGTAAGCCTATATTTTGAGTCATTATTTCAGGTAAAAAAATAAATTGAAACAAAATACTTATCTTTGTATAAGCTATAAGCAGGAAGTAAATGCTTTGATTTAGTTTAGATGTGATGTCGTGAAGAAAAAGAGCAGTGAGCTGCAGGTTCAAGACAGGGAATTCAAAGGCAAGTAGGTGACATGGGTCAAGGTCAGGTTTAATGAGTCAGTCTTTAGTCAGTGAAGCTTCAAGTTGCAAAAGGTTCAGTCAAGCAGAGGGACTAAGAAGATAGGTATCTTGAAAGTGAGGAACAGTAAGTCTGAGCAAGACTAGATAGTGAGCCAGATGCTTCTCAAGAATGGGATTCCAGAAAGGTGCTTGGAATGGACTGAATCCTTAAAGCCGAATGCTATATTAATATTTCTTGAAGAAATATAAATAGTTCTATCCAACTTAAATCAGTTTACTAAGAAATTGTAGACTGAGAAGATGAAGGAAGTTCAAACATCTTGTTGGTAATGGAATTAGGGAATAAAAAAGAATAAACTTATAGAAATCTTATAGCTTCAGCACCTGCAGAAAATTCATTGTCTTTTGGTTTAAATTCTCATGTACTAAAAGCTGTTAGGGCAGAAATTAGAAGGCATGGCCAAATAGATGAATTTTAAAAGATTGAGGATATAGAGAAAAGTAGTTTATAAGAACTCTGAAATGGTCTACAGATTAATGTTTTAACTGAATATGACTTTGAAAGGTCAAAGACATCAGAAAGGAATATGTAGTTTAGTCATCTGCATAAATGTTATAGTATGCTATTTAACATTGGTCAGAGAAAGGAATTTTAAAAACTTTTCTAAAAAACACTCACTCAATATTGATCCATATGTTCTAATTTAGTTGTGAACCATGTACAACTGATGTTTGACCTATTTGATTCAACGTGAAAAGAATTAACCAGCTGCCCTTGCTGAATCTTTTGTCATGCCTTCTGAATATGGTAAATCGTTTTGCTTTTTATTTTCTTGAGACCTCAGATTTCTGCACACTTAATTTTCTCTTTTAGAGTTAAATTTTGCAAGGCTTTGCTTTCCATTAGAAGAAGTCAGATATTTATTGGATAGCTTATATTGCATACCTAGTTCTATATGTATTCTACCCTAAGGATAGTTTACACTATATACACTTTTCAGTGCTTGAGGGTATGTTTTAGATAAGGGGCTGATTCTATGACTCCCTGCTGTTTGTAAATAAAGTTTTACTGGAACACAGTTTAGGCCCATTCATATACATATAGCCTATGACAGCTTTGCCTTACAGCAATCCAGTTGAATAGTTGGCAGTAGTTATATGGCAGGCAAGCCTAGAATATTTACTATCTGGTCTTTTATAGTAAAGCTTTTTTTTTTTTTGTGGTACCAGGAATTGAACCCAGGGCATGTAACCACTGGGCCATATTCCCAGCTCTTTTTTTTAAGACTTTTTTTTTATTTTGAGGCAGGGCTTCCTTAAGTTGTTTAGGGCCTCACTAAATGGCTGAGGTTGACCTTGAATTTGCCATCTTCCTGCCTCAGCCTCCTGAGCAGCTGGGATTATAGGAGTGTACCACTGCTATAATAGTTAAAGCTATAATAAAACATTTTAGTCACTGTTGTTGGTTACTGTGGTCCCCAGTCTAGATCCCTTAACATAACTTATGAAGTTATTAGAATTCAAATTTGGGGGCCTACACACTGACTCAGAAATTCTGGATATGGAGGCAAGAAGATCACAAGTTTGAGACTCAACAATTTAACAAGACCCTGTTTCAAAAAATAAAAAAGGATTGGGGATGTAGTTCAGTGGTAGAATGCTCCCAGCTCAATCCCCAGTATCCAGGAAAGAGAGGGAGGGAGGGAGGGAGGGAGGGAAAGAGAAAGAGAGACGCCTAAGTGATTCTAATGCATATTAAAAGTTTGAGAAGCCCTGTTCTAGGTAAATATTTCCCAAATGTTGGTTATGCATCACTCTTACTATTTTGTATTGTTTTCTATTTATTTAATGTTCTTTCTTTGCAACTCACTCTCTAAAATTTCAAGTTAATTTATAATGAAGCTTAAAAACTACCCTAAAAATAATTTACAGTGAAAACAAATGGTGTGTTATAGACATATAGGTAGACTCCATTGTCACTTAAGTGTTTCCTGGGCTAAAAATTAGAATTTTTTGCTGGACAGGGTGGTACATGCCTGTAATTCCACAGACTCGGGAAGCTAAGGCAGGAGATGCAAGTCTCTGCAATTTAGCAAGACCCTGTCTCCAGAAGGGATAATTGGTGGGAGAGGTGGTGCATGCCTATAATCCCAGCGATTTAGGAGGAGGAGGCTGAGGCAGGAGGATCCCAAGATCAAAGTTAGCCTCAGCAACAGCAAGGTGCTGAGCAAATCAGGGAGATCCTGTCTCTAAATAAAATACGAAAAGGGGTTGGGGATGTGGCTCTGTGGTTGAGTGCCCCTGAGTTCAATCCCCAGTGCCCACCCCCATTTGATTAAATAAATAATTACAGGTATAGCTTGGTGGCAAAGTACTCAGTATTGCAAAAAAGAAAAAGGAAGAAAAAAATAATTTATGAGGTTTATTAAATACATTACTGTTGCCAAATAGAAACGTCTTTCCAGACTTAATCATGATATTTATAATGTGGATGAACTTGTTCATAAAACACAAAATAATCTTTCTAGTTATTTGTGAGAGAGGAAACTGTTGAGCTATTGATCCCATAAATAGAAATGATTGGCTGGGAAATTCAAACCTATGAGATAAAGAGAGATCTCGGAGACTCTAGAGAAGAGGTCCTTCTTTTTTCTTTTTTTGTTTTGTGGTATTGGGGATTGGGCCCAGGGCCTTGTGCACGTGAGGCAAGTGCTCTATCAACTGAGCTATATCCCCAGTCCCAGAGGTCCTTCTTGACCTCCAGGGTGAAATTACCTCATTTGGCTTAATTTCTCACCTCTCTTTTAGTGTTTTGGTCCATGGGAGTCACTCATTCTGTCACCAGGTCTGGAGGATTTTACCAGCCAGTTCCACATGGGAGTATGAAAAGAACCCTAGAGTAGGAACTGCATTATGGACATGGGGAACAGTGAAGGACAAAACAGTTGATTCATCTCAGAGTCTACAAATCATGTATTAATTAGTATTGTGAGAAATTTCTGTGTTATACTTTAATTTGCCTCATGGTGTTAGAGTGAGTACTTTTCCACAGTGGTGTTTTATATATTGGTTGTACTTAGGAGTATAGTAATTATTAATAGCAGTGGACACTTCCCTTAGTATACCCAAGTTGCTGAGTTATTTTAGTCATTTCTTTCCTTTTCTTTAGGAATTATGGATGTATTTGCTTCTGTTTCCTTTTTGGTTCTATAATAAAATAATCCTAGAGGGCACAAAAATCTAATGAGGAGTAGAGATTTACACATAAACAGTTATGTTTATTTTCAGATGACACATTCTGTGATATTGGTTGTAGGTATCTGATTTTGAAAAAAGTACTTTACAAAGTACAAATGACAAATACCTACATGAATAAACAGATTTTGCTTTGACTATTTCTGTTAGATTTAAAAAAGTGAATAAAGCATTACAAATGAAGTCCCTTATGTTCCCCTTTATGGTCTCATTCCTTTCCAGAGGAAATACTTGTTGTGAAATTGGTGTGTATCCAGTGCGACACAGTATTTCTGCTGTGTTGTTTTTCTAGTTTTAAGGTTCACGTCTCCTTCATGGCCATCTGTTTTTCATTTTGACTTCCTTTATCATTAGGTTGTCTGTTATCTATGTCTTTTTGATATTTACATTTCTTTTCTCTTATTTCTTTGTTGGTTTTAGATTTGGGGATGCTTTTGTTGGTTTTTATAGCTGTAACCAACCAATGAGGACTTGTCTTTTTTTAATAGATAAGCGAGCCAATCACTTTTTCTTTGATTCTTTTCAGCTATTTCTTCGTAGCCAAAGATAGCTTTCATTACTTCTAATTTTGTGTATAGAAAATTCTGGATGATAGAAGGCACCCGATATCCAGAGTGCGAGTGTTACTGTATCAGAATTGCAGCTCTGTAAGTAAGTATCAAAATATAAAATTTAGCAGGCTGCAACTTTTTATTACATATATTTAAAATTTTGTATAATCTACTTTTATAACTTAATTATAATTTAATTCCTAAAGTTGCTGAAAAGCAACTTTTTAGGTTTTTATAGTGTCTCTCATATCTAAGAATAGAAATATGCTGTTAGCCTTCCTAAAGCAACTCTTACTCTTAACTCTTTCTCCACCTCCAGTATGAAGACATTGATCTCTGCTAGCTGCCAAGATGTTCCTTGTATAATGACAGAAGACAGATTTGGGGCTGGGATGAAATTGTATCTTGGAATATAGCTATATTAATATTTCTGTTCTCACGTTTCTGTCATTACCATTCTGTTAGTTCTTAAAGATCGTTTTTCTCCTACCAAGACTGTTTCCCAGTCTCATTCTTTTATAAATGTTGTTACATGAATTAAATTTTCATAGATGGGTGGGCTAGATTTCAAAATGTTAGTCTTTAACCGTATCCATCAAGAATGAACTTGTTTTGGAATTTTTTTTTTAAGTGGACATTAAAATTTTTTTGAACTTATCATGGGGATTAAGGTGGGATAATGTTAGTACCTATTTGTAATTACAAATCGTGAATCAAAGGATTAAGAGGGATTGTCTTTCTGAGCTTATAGTAGTTCCCCTTGGTTTTGCAATTTTCTGGAGGAAAGGAAAGCTGCTACTGCTACTCAGTTCAAAAAGAAATGATATTATAGTTGGAAGGCAGACTGTTAAAACTTTTTTGTTTTCTTATATAATGAATATATGTCTGAAAAGTATAATATATCAAGCTATGTTAAATGTTTTCAAAGCATCTGTGATTATATTATGTTAAGATACAGCAACGAGTTCTTTTATTATATATATTGAATCCTATACTTAGAACTGCTTAAATATGCAGTGGGTGTAACTGAGTATGTTTTTTATCAAGGAAACTTGGGAGTAAAGGAGTAATAAGTTTTTTTTATATAACAAAGTTAATTTTTATAAAAGGATTTGTGTAAGTGAATTCTAAAGGAACAACAAAGGTAGGTGGGAAAAGTTAGAGTTGGTGAGAAAGTGTGAGGAGAGTGCAAAAGTAATGAGATTGGTTCCTGAGTATAGTAGTTACCATGCAGCAGTAGTCGCCTGCATTTACCTTGGCTCCACATGAAGACACAGAGTTTACTTGTGTACTTCTTAGGGTCACTTCTGCCCTGGAGTAGACTAGAAACTGGCCATTGGTCTCTATGTAGTTCCCGTATGATCATGTGGACTCTGGAGATTATATTGGATGAAATGAAATGATAATGAGAGAGAAGGGATTTGGGGATTCAAAGAGTTGGGGAAACAAAGTATCTTTAAATTTTCAATTTTATCACTTCTCTTTCTAGCTCTAGCTATCCTGTCACTGAGAGTTATGGATCTTATGTCAGAGAGAAGGGACCTGGCCTGTCCCAAGCCAGTGGTGACATATGACAAGTCTATCTGTGGGAGGGCTTTGGTTGCCACACTAGAAAATGTGGGAGGGCTTCTCCCTTCCTGCCCCCATTTATAGATGTGGGGATGCATCTATTACTTTGTGTGCTGTTGCCTTTTCTCTTCCCTCTTTGTTTTCCCTAAACTGAGCTCTAAGCTAAATTCTGTACCAAAAAAAAAAAAGGATTGCTTTTATAAATTGCTTGCCATTAATGCCTGATAATATACAGTAAGATAGGAGTCTGCATACCATTAAATATGTCAAATATTACAAATTTTAAGGTTCTTTTGAAATTATACTAAACTCAGTTCACTTTTGCTTAGCCTTCACAGTTGTTGATCACATAGCATGGTCATCCACTCACAGCTTAAAAAAATACAGGGAGCATCGGACAGAATGGGTAAAGTAAAATTTTGATGTTTTTAAAATAGCACATAAATCTATGAAAGTTGATTTGGTTTATTGTTTGGGAGGGAAAAGGTGGGTGGGACTGGTGGGGAAGGGGTGGGTATTGGGATAATAGCATGCACCGTGTACAATGTGAGACATCACATAGGCTGAGGTTTAAGTTAGGTATTCCTACTAAAACTTAAGTATAAGTCAGTTTCAGAAAAGGCAGGACCATAAAAGGCAGTGTTGGGAATTATAATGTGATTATTTTGACCTCCAGATAGAGGATTTTGAGTATAGTTTGGACAGGTGCTGTCTATCTAGAGTGGCCAGTCTGTATTCCCTGAGTGAAATCAACTGCTTCAGTCCACCTTGGTCTCTGTTACATTAGTGAAGGACCTGGAGACGACCAATATGCATTCTAGTTTTTATTTTAAACCTATGACTCGGGATCTCAAATCAGGATTATAGTTTATGACACCCATGAAGGGGTTAGCAAAAGGGAAATAAGTGAATTGTAATTTTGAAGATAGTTTCGTGGTAGGAAGTATTAATAGGGCTTTCAGTGTTTCGAATGGAAAACTGTTCACGTGCCAAAGTTCTAAATCAAATTTATAATTTGAAAAACTTGGCATTATAGTTATATACAAAGCCTACTGAATTATTGTGGTGGTTATAGGGCAGAAAAGACCTCCATGTGCTTATAGGCAGTCTTGTTGACTCAAATAACTTGACCTAATTTTTGCTCCATTATTTAAAAAAAAAATTAGAGGGCATCAAATTTTACCCCCAAAATGTTGTTCTGGCCCTGACTTTGCTATTTCCCTACATGAAGCTCTTTGCCAACACCAGAATTTGTTTACTTGCTGTTCACCAAACCTTCATGCCTCTGTAAGCTTTGTCAAAAATATTAGTCCAGTGTGGAATGCTCTTTCTTCTTTCCTTTGCTCTAAGTCCTGTCCATCTTTCAAATATTGGCTTCTACTTAATGCATGAAGCCTTTTCAACCTTATTATGTCTTTGCTGCTCATTCTAGTCTTAAAATTTTTTAAAGGTATCTCACTTTTGGAAACACCCATTTGGCACTTGAATCAAGCTACCTGTGTTATTGTTATTTATATGTCCTATTCTCTAGCAAAATGATGGGTAGGGTGCTTGTCTTAGCTGTTTGTCTTAAGCTCTTGTCTAGCATGGAGGCATAGTGTCACTTAGGTTGATTCTGTGATTTGGATCTAATATCAGTGTGCCAAGGCACTTTTTTCCCATTTATGTATTATTTTTTTAATATATGAGAGGAAAATTATTGGGAAAATTGGCTCACACAATTTAGATTATTTTCATATGACTATATGCCCAGAAAACTGAAAGATGAAGTACATCAAATTTATAAAATTAATTTCTTATGTTATAAGGAGATTTGGTTCATATTTGTCCTTTTTAAAATTATTATTATTATTATTATTTAATGGGCGCTGTTTTTACCTAGTTTTCTTTTTGAAAAACATGGTTTGGGCCAGATACTATAATAGAAATCAAAATTACCAGTATTTTTATTTTAAAAATTCTTTGTTGATTTAGTTAAATTATGCTTCCATTGCATAAGCCCAAATAAATTGATTAAATACAGCATGGTTATGTAGCCAAATTGTTTAAAAAATCTTAGCCTTAAAAGTCCTTTAAACAGAACTTTAAAAATATCAGTAAACAGATCCTTACTTGCTAGTTCTTGGTATTTCTGTATCTCGATTTATTAGGAGTTTTATGATTTTTTTGTTTTAGAGATTTCTATAATGACTAATATTTGATAACTGTATCTGTTGTGTTTGCTACAACACATCATTTTCTATCAAATGATTATGGAGCACCCATTCATTTGAAGTGAGGATTTATTTTAAAATGCTTTTTGGCCTTTAAAAAGATTGATTTTTTTTTTTTTTTTTTTTTAATTTTTAAGCTCACCAGGGCTACCACTTGCTATATTCGTATTTGGAATTGTTGATACTTTATCTGCTAGAGTATCTTTAGGGAACATATATCTTATTATTAGATTTAATGTGATTTCTTATGCAAAAACAGTCACTGTGCTAGAAGAAATGTTTGATTAGTAATACTTTGGTGAATCTAAATTTTATTGTAGGCCTAGCTTATACCCTTGAGCCATAAAATTGAACAGAGTACTAAAATGACACTGCTGTTGTATTGCCAAAAAGCTTAGATACTTGTAGCAGGGAGACCCCTAGATATGTAAGGGTTGGGGTTCCCCCCCTTTAAAAAGTTCATAAACTTTAAAATCATTAACGTAATTAGGGTATAGATTTAAAAACAATTTGTTTTTCTTAAATGCCAGGGAGGAAAGAGCCTCTATTTACAGATTTACATTCTAGTGTGAGTTTATCTTAGTGTCCTTCCAACATGAGCTTTAGGCAGACACTCACCAATCTTGATGAAATATACTTTTTAGAGACACATTTAAAAAAAAACAAAAACCAAAACCCAGTTGGCCCAAAGGCCACTTCCAATGTGCAGCCTTGGACTTTTACTTACAGTCAGTCATATTCTTCCACACTTGTGAAGTCAGTATTATTATTAAAAATCAAACAAACAAAAAAACACAAAAGTATAAAACACCCTGATTTTGTTCACTTTTGTTTTCATATACAAGAATCTCTACAGTCAACATGTACTTCTAGATGCTGTATTGAAATTGCTGGCAGAGTCTATTCTATACAAACTGAACAATCTGGCCCCTTGTTTCATTTGTAAAGGTTCAATGTATCTATGCCTGCCTACTTCAATCTGCAAGGGAGTGTCAGAAAGGCCCCGCAATCGCCGAGCCGTGAGTTATCACTAACTTTTCAGATGTGTTAATGAATGTGGAACAAAAGCAGTTGTGTTTAAAAGGAAAAACGGACCATCAAAATAACCTTTATTATAGTAGCAGGCGTGAACACTAAATGGATTATTCCAAATCGTGTCAGAAATAACCTACTAGAAATTAGCCTTTAGAAAACCTACTGTTGAACTGCTCTGAAGCTACTATTTTAACTATAAATTATTGTTCTTAAAAATGTATATACCCTGGTTGCAAATTAGAATGATCTTTAAATCTTTTTAACCACATTAAAACAATTTAAACAAAATCTTACCCCATAGTATTGAATTTAAGTTACGCTCTTCAATATAAGACCATTTGAAGGGATAAAGTTTGAACCTTGTTACTTCACATGTGAAAATACAGAAATTAATTTAAATGATTGAATCACTTCCTAGATGAAAGTGTATGAAGTACTCCAGGCATCATGTGAACTACCTAGGTATTACAGTCTCTTTTAGTACTAACAATTTTTGCTTCAGTAATTCACCAGTAGGTTTTCATTTATCAATGATGATATCAATTTAAGGCTAAAATAAAACACCTACATTTCTTAGGGCTTATCATTCTATATAGAAAGAGGAAACATCTTATGAATTTTTCTTTTATTTTTCCAAAGAGATTCTAAGCCAAAAAAAATGTAACTAACATCTATATTTTGTTATTAGAGCTAGTTACCTTTCTTTTTTTAGATTCTTTAAAAGTTTTGAGTTGATAGCCATATTCGATAAGCAGGTTGGATGCTTCTGTTGATTAGGAGGTGTATTGTTTTATATGAAGACAGAATGAATTTAAATGTACCCAGTTTGGCAATATATAGCACAGACTACATAAAACTTGGAGGTATGGAACCTTTGGAGGCATTAAAGTTAACATTTCAGTTAGGCAATGTGCCTTTGTTTGACTGGTGTGTAAGTCCTTCTTCCAGGTTTGTACGCTCTTAAACGCGTTATTCTACCCTCTCTAACTCCTCCCGGCAGCAAAAGGGAGACACTTCAACTGGAACAAAATAGTGGAAGAAATGGCGTCTGGGGTTCAGTGGGGATTCGCAGTGTGTATGCAATGTTTGCAAGATTACTTTTTATGTTTTTCAATTAATGTAAATAATTACAAAATAAATCAGTGCTTACTGTCAAGAAGGGAACATTGTATACCAGTAGAAAATCTCTTAGTGGGTCTGTTGCAATTTGCTTAACCTCTTGGAGCCTCAGTTTCCTCACCTGCAATATGAAGGAGTTGGACTTGATAATCTTTAAGGTCCATTCCTGCTCTAAAATCCTATGCTTTTCTGAAGTCCTCTGTTTAACAGAATGCATTGCTTCCCACTTTGACTATTTGAATTACATGTGCAGTACACATATCGCAACTGCATGTTGTCTAAAATAGTTTTTCTGTAGGATGTTATGTAAAAAAAACTAATCCCTCTTGAGCTGATTTATAAATGTGTGTGAATAGAGCCACACATAAAAAGTTAGTGATACCAGGGCTCTGAGAAAATAAATACTTTCTAGTTGTCTAACCTTGAATGTTATTAACTTTTCTATATTACAGGAGATACTACTCGTCAACGAATCAAATTCAGTGATGACAGAGTATGCAAGAGTCATCTTCTCAACTGTTGCCCCCATGATGTCCTTTCTGGAACTGTACGTATTAAATCTTTCATTTGAAAATTGGTGTGCTACAAAAACAGACTACTTGATAAAGCCCTCATTTTTTTTTGTCAGATTATTAGGCAATAATTTTTTAACAGTGTCGTTAGAGGAATTTACATTCCTTACATTGTCTATTCGGATTGATAATTTAATATTTTTTAAAATTTTTTAAAATGTTTATTTTTTAGTTGTAGTTGGACACAATATCTTTATTTTATTTATTTATATGTCATGCTGAGGGTCGAACCCAGGGCCTCACACATTCTAGGCGAGCACTCTACCACTGAGCCACAACCCTAGCCCCTCGGATTAATAATTTATATCTGTAATAATAGTTTTGCTCATAGAGGTTGGTTGATATTTACAAGTTTTTTCATTCTTCAGAACAGTTCTTTAAAAGCACTTAATTGGAAAGTAGAGGCAGTTAGCATAATACAGCATTTGTACATTTAGTTCAGAAATACTATAGATGATTTTTTTTTTTGGTGCCAGGGATTGAACTCAGGTGTACTTGGCTACTGAACCACATCCCCAACCCTATTTTGTATTTTGATTTAGAGAAAGGATCTCACTGAATTGCTTATCACCTTGCCATTGCTGAGGCTGGCTTTGAACTCCATTTCTCCTGTCTCAGCCTCCTGAGTTGTGGGGATTACAGATGTGCACCACTGCATCCAGAACTATAGATGATTTTTTTTTTAAATTTTTGTTTTTAGTTGTAGGTGGACACAATATCTTTGTTTTATTTTTATGTGGTGTGAGGATCAAACCCAGTGCCTCACGTGTGCCAGGAGAGTGCTGCACCACAGAGCAACAGCCCCAGCTCCTATAGATGATTTTTAAAGTTTACTATTAAACAGAGTAGATTTTTTGGGGCGAGGCAGGGAGCACTTAATCACTGAACCACAACCCCAGTCTTTTTTTTTGGAGACAGGGTTTTGCTAAGTTACTTAGGGCCTTGCTAAGTTGCTGAGGCTGGTCTCTAACTTGGAATCTTCCTGCCTCAGCCTCTTAAGTCATATAGGCATGTGTTGTCATACCTGGCAAACAGAATAGATTTTTACCCAGAGTGGTGTACATTTTTTGTTAAGATTTGTGTAGATTTATAGCTGAGTGTTATGGTGAATGCCTGTAATCTCAACTACTTGGGAAGTTAAAGCGGGAGGATCCCAAGTTCAAGGCCATCCTAGGCAACTTAGGAAGACCATTCTGAAAATGAAATTAAGAAATGACTGGGGATGCAGCTCAGTAGAGTGCTTTGTTAGTGTATGCATAGGTTCGATCAACAGTAATGAAAAATAATATTTGTGCCCATGTATATTGTGGAGTCAGTAAGAAAAACATTAGTAAATACTTACATTCATACAGTTAACTTGAGAGTAGCGTTGTCACTTAAAATTTATCTGTATTGCTGACTCCTAATAGAAAGCTCAGTTTAGATTCAATGATTGGTCTTAAGATTTTCATCTTTTTTTTTGGTACCAGGGATTGAACCCAGGGGTACTTATCCTGGGTCACATCCCCAGCCCTTCCTTTTTTTGTGTGTGTGTATTTTGAATCAGTCTTGCTGAGTTGTTTAGGGCCTTGCTTAAGTTGCTGAGGCTGGGTTTGAACTTGAAATCCTCCTGCTTCAGCCTCTCGAGCCACTGGGATTATAGGTCTGCGCCATCTTGCCCAGCAAAGAGTATCATCATTTAAATTCAGAAGATAAAACACATAATGATGGATCTTTTAAAATGGAACAGGAATTGATTGCCTAACTTTTGGATTTGGTTGAAATGATATTGAGTTGCTTCCCTTTACAGATGCACTCAGTGGTAGTGGGGAGCTAGTAAGGGATAAACCTCAGACTGGCTTTATTTCTCATTTGCCAGAAATGAGTCAAATGAAGAAAAGATTTCCAGCTTACCTTTTCAGAAGCAGTGAGTTCACCTAGCTAAAGATGTCTAAATGAGTGGTTTCTTCTTTCAGAGGAAGATTTAAATTAAGGACATACTTCAAACAGAAAAGATAATTGGGAAGACAGTTGAAACTATGAGCCTAAAATGTTTTTAAGTAGAATACTACAGAGTAAGAAATCTGGTTTCTGAGCATGTGTATAAGAACTATGGCAGATAGTAATGGACAGAAAAGTTTCTATCTACTCAAGTTTCCAAAATTAAAATATTTTCTACTATGTTGTAATACATTTGAAATCTATGATTAATTATAATTATCTGTATATTCTGAGATTCTTCATACTTATTGTTTTATAAAATTTAACAATTAAAGTAATTTTATTTAATGGCTAAATTATCTCTTCAGATAATTTAAAGAATGAGATTAACAAAATGTCAGAATTTAGGTTTTTTCCCTTTTCCCTAATATTCTAAAGTCAACCATAGCAAGATTTGTACTTATAGTAATGATAAAAAAAAAATCTGTTATGCTTTACATCTCAAAATGTACATAATGCCTCTTTTGTGTGTGAACCCAGGGAGTCCTGCATGTTAGGCAAGATACTACTATTAAGCTGCAATGCCAGCCCTCATTTATTTCTTAAAAGATTTCTGTGACATATATTATCTGCAGTTTACAGATGAGAAATTAGCCTTAATGGTAATTAAGTAACTTAAAATCACTCAAGTCTGTTGATGTAAAGTGGAACTGGAACCAAACCCTAATTTTTTTTTTTTTTTTAACATTTGCAGTGTTTTTATTATTGAGACATTTCAAACATAAGGCAGATAGAATAGTATAATGAGCACCCATGGACCTAATACTTACCACTCAGCTTTAATAACTGGTGGCATTTGCCGCCTTTCTTCAAACTCAAGTTTTCGGATCTGAGTTTCCTCCCGCATGTTTTCTGTTTTGTTGGGAATTCTTAATCATTAATCATTCATCATGTAAATAAAGAGGATAAATGCTTGTTCTTGGACTTTCCTTTTTATAAAACTTACTGATGGCCAGGCATGGTGGTACATGCCTGTATCCCTTGGTTTGGAAGGCTGAGGCAGGAGGATCACGACTTCAAAGCCAGTCTCAGCAATTTATCTAGGTCCTAAGCAACTCAGTGAGATCCTGTTTCTAAATAAAATACAAAAAGGACTGGGGATGTGGCTCAGTGGTTAAGTGCCCCTGGGTTTAATCCCTAGTATTAAAAAAAAATTACTGATGAATTATAAAGTATACAATTTTTTAAAAAGATTTTTACCATCTCTGAAATATGGATCTTAAACTCCATGATTTAAAAAAAAAAAGAAAAAAGAAACCACCGTCTTAATTGGAAATAATTTTTCTTATGGCATAGAACGTGGAGATGAGGCTTAAAACTGAAGTGCTTTGTGTTATATGATAAGCAGTTAAGAAAAGCTCTTATAGGTAGGGTGCAGCTGAATTGTAAGGCACTTGCCTACCATGCATGAGGCCCTGGGTTCAAGCCCAGCACTGCCAAAAAGAGAAAAAAAAAAAAAAAAGAAGAAAAGCACTTTAAAGGCACCTGCAGAGTAAACTGGGAAGGAAAACTCTTGCTAGCTTGATAGAAAGAGATTGTCTTTAAAGTTGGAATTAAGTAGGTGTGACCTTCTCAGGAAGAGAGTTTTGAGGATGAGCTAAAGAATTTTTATGAGACTTTGGAGTTTTAGTGTGGTGTCCGTAAGAATTTGAAAATCATTGATGGTGTGATTCCTTGTGACCTTATTACTAAAAGGGACTGTTATTAACTTTTCATCTTCTGTATTAATGGCTTATAATTGGGGAGCTATTCTTTCTTTAGCACCGAAATCCTATAGGAAAATGCTTTTTGGTGACACAGTATAGTAGTTCACACTTCTTTGAATTGAAGATACCACTTTCCTTTTTTTTTTTTTTTCTTCAGTGCTGGGAATCAAACCAAGGCCTTTTATGCACTAGGCAGGTGTTCTACCACTCAGCTACATCCGAAGCCTTATTTATTTTCTTTTCACATGTTAGATGAAGAATGAAAGAAATTTAATTGAAAAGAATTCTAATTGTTGATTATATAATGCTTTTTCTTCTCTCTCTTTTTTTGTTTGTTTTTAACCACGTTACCACTGTAAAGTGATGTTTTACCTTTTTTGTGTGGTATCAGGGATGGGATTGAACTCAGGGGCACTCGACCACTGAGCAACATCCCCGGGCCTATTTTATTTAGAGACAGGGTCTCGCTGAGTTGGGTTGTACCTTGCTTTTTGCTGAGGCTGGCTTTGAACTTGAGATCCTCCTATCTTAGTGTCCCAAGCCACTGGGATTACAGGTATGCGCCACCATGCCTGGCTGGTGTTTCACCGTTGTGCTACATCCTCAGTCTTCTTTTTGAGACTGAGTCTCACTAAGGTTGGTAAAGGTTATCCTCAAATTTGTGGTCCTCCTGCTTCAGCCTCCAAGTCACTGGGATTATAGGAGTGAGCCACTGCACTTGACCTTTTTCCTTGTTTTTATAACTAAAGGATATTTGTTAGCTTTCTTAACTTTATTTCTTGGATCTTCCATTTCTAGCAGTATCTGGTTCAGAATCAGCAGAAATTAAGGCTCAAATAAATTGAATTGTCAAATCTTTCTCTCTCTCTCTCTCTCTCTCTCTCTCTCTCTCTCTCACCAAGGATTGAACTCGGGGGTACTTGACCACTGAGTCACATCACCAGCCTTATTTTGTATTTTTATTTAGAGACAGGGTCTCACTGAGTTGCTTAGCCCCTTACTTTTTGCTGAGGCTGGATTTGAACTTATGATTTTCCTGCCTCAGTCTTCCTGAGCTGTTGAGGTCACATGTCATAGTCAGAAAAATCACAGTATTTTATACCCAAAGGTATTTTAGATTTACTTAAATCTACATACTTAATTTTTTTTTTCATGCAACTGAGAAGTTGGGAATAGGCCAGTTTCTCCTATTTAACTAGAATTTCACATATTTTAAATATAGGTGTTTTCCATGTAGTTTTGTTTTAGAGATTCTGCTGCTCAACAATAGGGGAGTTTTAAAAGAACTG